AAATTTGCTGCATTTAATTTTATACCAACAGGGGAACCCGGCGTTGTCTGGGTCAAAATGCAACGCACAATAATAAGGGTTTTAAGAACTCATTTGAAATCAACAATTGCATCGAAGTGTCTGGTATCGCTCAGTTCATATTAGCAAAATTAATTTGACTTCCCCTTTCATACAGCACCTAAGTTACCTGCATTTTAATCTTCAAAATGTACACGCCTTTCAAATTTAAATTCTGTATTAATTTTCCCGAAAGCAATAATTAGATGTTCATCGTATTTTTATTTCCATAATAACGAAACGGTTGAAGCTCTAAACATTCGTTTGTAAAACGTGTTTGGCCTACTGGCCGAAATCTGGAAAACTGTGAAAAATAATTTTGAACACTTTACACACACATATATCCAGCAAAATCTGGAACAACCACAATCTTTCTTTAATGCAACAATCTACCATTGTTTTGGGGACGCTAATGTTATCAAAGTAAATAAAACATTAATAAACAACCAATTATACGATCAGCTGGTTCATTGTGTCATATTGCATCTAATAATAAATGACATTATAAACATTAAGAAAAACAGCGTGTAGTTCTACACACTTACCATCAATCAAAGAAACAAACATTTAACATTTATTATTTATAAATAAATTCCAACTGTGTTCAACTTCGTTTTACAGTTCTGTATTCTCTTTGATTTAATTTAAGAAAACAATGTAGCAAAACAATTCTACTTCATTATTGGACATTTAAAAAGGTTAAAGTTAAGTGCAAGTTAGTTGAAATAGGAGTAAACATATTACCAACTTCAATTTAATATTTACGTACAGGAAAATTCAGCTTCCAGGAAATTTAATTTAATCTCATCAAAATCTCATGCATGACTTACATCCCGAAGCCAGAAATTCATATAACAAACACGTTGTATTCAAAATTAAATTAAATATTCTTAATATGGCAAATATTAACAAGCACAATATCAAATATAATAGAATAGATTACTGTCAAATATAATCTGTTCTCCTGTAAACAACGCAAAGTTACAAAATGATTAGATTGTTAAGCAATCAGACATATCACGTTTGACACCGGTAAACATTCCATTCGATAAAACAAATCGATTTGATGTATTATATGTTGGGTGACAAACTAGAGTAATATTAAATCTAAAAACCCTTAAAAATAAATTTATTTTTCTTTATTTTCCTACCGGCAAGAACTAAAACATTGAATTATTTATCTTGTTTTATAGCATTTGATGTTGCAGAATTTGTGTTTTTACAATATAACTCGCCACGATGTGTGGAATCTTCAGAGAGAATTGCAGAATTTCGTTTTTACATTACATGCATTGTTCATATCCTATTTTGTTTATGAACATAAGGAACATTGTGCATTCAATAAATCAGTGTAAATAGTGCATAAAATTTGTATATAATATGTTAAAAAGAAATTCTACTATCCTCCCTGAAGATGCGGGCTAACTTGGCGAAAAAAAGTTGGGGAAAGGAAGAGAATTTTGCAAGAACAAAGACTATAAAACAAAGAAAAATCCAAAAGAATTTAGCCTTTAACTTCGAACATGACGTAAAAAGGTCATATTAAATATGTATTATAGTTATATTTTACTTCGTATAAAATATTGGGTTGGGTAAGTTTTTGTTGTTGTTGTGTTTAACTTGTTCCTTGAGGTACAGTTTTATTTACGAAATAAAATCATAGTTTAAACTTACTTAGCTTAGTTTAGTTTTAAGCTTGGATTTCATTCTATGAAAAGTACATTATATTCGTTCGGGAAAAAATCTTGACAGAAATATTCACAAAATTAATAATATAACATGTACACCATTTTTCTAAGTAAAGAACCTAAAGATATTAATTTCCTTGTTAGTGTTTTACCAAAATAAAGTAAATTATCATTGATTTACCTCACAGTATTGGGATTCCACTTTACTGTATAGGAATGCAAATAGTTCACCTACTCAAGCTGCTGTGGGGACAGTAAAGTAAATGTACTGTGTCTGATATATGTGCCACACCTGGGGTGTAAATGTAAATGTCTCACTCAGCAATTGCTGGAAACAGAGGGATGAATGTAACATGTTCTGCACCAAATCCATAACCAGGGTGTGTCGCTACACTGTGATCTACATGTTACAGAGCACACATACGTGGAAACTTAAAAAAATTGAACTAGGAAGAGTGAGCTAAATATAGTGTGTATGATACAACATCCATATCGTGGGATGTAAATATAGATATCTCACTACACAGTGGTGTAAAATGTTTCAACATACACGTGAGAGGGAACTGCTGTAGCTGTAGCTGTGGACTGTGATAAATGTACTGTGGCTGATACATGATACAACATCCATAACGTGGGATGTAAATATAGATATCTCACTACACAGTGGTGTAAATGTTTCAACATACATGTGTGAGGGAACTGGTGTAGCTGTAGCTGTTGGCTGTAATACATGTACTGTGCCTGATACATGATACAACATCCATAACGTGGGATGTAAATGTATATACCTCACAACACAGTGGTGTAAATGTTTCAACATACACGTGTGAGGGAACTGGTGTAGCTGTAGCTGTGGACTGTGATAAATGTACTGTGTCTGATACATGATCCAACATCCATAACGTGGGATGTAAATGTATATACCTCACAACACAGTGGGGTAAATGTTTCAACATACATGTTTGAGGGAACTGCTGTAGCTGTAGCTGTGGACTGAGATAAATGTACTGTGTCTGATACATGATCCAACATCCATAACGTGGGATGTAAATGTATATACCTCACAACACAGTGGGGTAAATGTTTCAACATAATGCAGTAGCTGGTGTTGTTGATTGTGTTTGATGCATATACATACACTGTAGAGCACATGTAGATGTTATTCTACATAGCAACATTTATGATTAACCATACAAATTGCTGCGAACTGTGATATAAATGTACTGTATCCATTGCACCAGCTATACACCTTGCAGTACATGTAGATGTTCCTCAACAAAGCCAGCGGGAATAAAGACATACATGGTGTTGTCGTGTTAACATTCGTTCTTATCGTTCCTTTGCACCTTTTTACTGTTTTTAACTGCATATTCTTTTTAGCTTCTTTTTCAGTTTTGATACCTAATGATGGATTGTAATTCACTTAATTTCTAATTTGATACTAGCATTATACTAGATAAAAAGAACTACTAAGACTTTTTTGTAAGATTATAATAAACATGCTAACTTGTCACACATTATCAACAAGTATGTTGTAATTCCTTAGGCTTCTCCTTACAGAAAGTCTGCTATTATGTGGATTGTTATACAAGATAACCTTTGTAGTGTTCTGAATCTTTCAATCTCCTAGGAATTCAAGATTGTTTAGGAGAGGTTTTAACAGTGTACATTTAATAAATGGGTCGGTAACTTTGTCATCTAAATTACTTGAAAAAGAACAAAACCATTTAAAAAGTGAAAAAGATTCAGTACAAAAACAATTTCAAGTTCAAAGAGTTGGGTTAAACGATTTATTGTTAATATTTATTTAGTATCTAAAATAACTTAATCAAACATATGTATAATATAGGATATATATAATCACAACTAAGTTTGCCATATTGTTGCCAATAATTTTGCCATTCAAATTATTAGAGCAATATTACACAGTGTTTATTATTAGTTTACGAATTAGTAATACATATTTGAATACTAAAATAGGTGTACGAGGGGGGCTCGTGCGCAAATTGACCATCTTCATAGGGGTCGAAAATCGGTTCTGGGGCAAAATGAACTCTATACAATACCTTTTTCCATTCAAAAAATGTTGTTTGTTGGTGACAGCTATTAGGAGAATAAAATTACTAACAGAAGAAAATATTTTTTTACTTTTAGTACTACGAGTAATTTACCTACCTCAACCCGGTTGCAAAATCAGTAAGTATATGATATTTAGAATCCATTTTCATTAACTGTTTTGCCTCTTGTTCACAATGTGGATATGGTTGAAAATTCAACTTAAGGATCACATACTCACACGTAAAGTCACATATAAACCATTATTATAACCTTGGTCATTATCATTTAATCTTTGAAAGAGAACTATAACAAATAATAAATCAAAAGCCATGGGGGCAAAGTTTCATACCATGTATGGTCAAAGTATATACAATGCCATATAATGGTTGAAAATATAAAAATGAGAAGTTTGAAAGGAAATGGGTAAAGTGTAAATGAGGCTCGAGCGCGGATGTTGCTGGGGGCGCGGAGATAAATGTATCTGATGCTGCTGTAGCCCGGGGCGGGAATATACTGGCACACGCTTCCGCACTTACCCACCCTCCCCAGCGATATCTACATCGCCTTGGTGGTACATCACCTCTGGGTCAGGTAGTTAGAGCACTAAAACCAACTCCTCCTAAATTCCTTAAACATTAAAAATAAAAAAAGAATAGCGAAATAAAAACTAGGCTGTCTCCACGTGATTGTACAGCAGTGATTGTCTGCCTTTATTGAATATTCATTTAATTGCGGAACTATTTAAAAACTATTTTAGTACTAAAGTAGTTTGGTTTTGTAGCAGAAATTAGTGTAAATATACTTTGTCTAATTTACTTAGACCTGACAATCGATTGTATAGCCATAGACCCCTTTTAAGGGAGTACAGGTACATCATGTAAAAGGGGGTTTATCAAATATCTCTGACAGAAAATGTGGACAATATGTGGATGGAAAACCACATATTTTTTAACACGTCTGATAACAAAAAACTGATAACAAAAACACTTAAATGATCAAATCATCATATATTATTAGCTTTCACAGAAAAGTGTTTGCTTAAAGATAATGAAATACGTTTAAATGAGCTTTTATTCGGAATCTTATAAGTGTATCCTATGAAGAGAATAAATGTGTTAGTAAAGTAAACAATAAACAAATGTAGATTTTATTACAGAACATACAATCTTTTACAATATTTACAAAATTTTATTCCTAAGCAATACAACTTGGTAAAAATCACCTAACTAACAAGCTGTAAAATACTCAATAGGCTACAGTTGGTTTTTAAATAACATTTTTAGGTTTAAATTCAATAATTTAAAGCATACATCTACATAATCTTCAATGCACATTACTCACTATTCTTCTTGTTTAACTGCTACAGCTATTCGTTCAAAAATAGTTCAGAGGTTTGTAAAAAAAAAATAAAAACAAAGTAACTATTGACAAGAATGGTGACATTAAATATTGTCGTGTTGTTTCCTTTGCAAACAAAATGTGAAACTTAGATCATAAACAATGGCTAGGAATGTAGTAGATTAATGTTGCTATAAACCGCAACAAAAGCTGTTTAGGAAAGTCTAGTGAACACACATACAAAAATACTCTGACGTGGAAAATATATTGTCGCAGTCAATATAAGCAACTCCGGCGTAATGGGACCTCTTCTGCCCTGAAAACATCAAATATTCAGTTTTATTGCAGACGTTACCTTTAAAGTATGTGTTAGTGAAAGTATTATTCCTCAGAGCTAAGTTGACCAATGGCTATATTTTTTATTCGTTTTAAAATTTTATTTAATTTAAAAAATTATTAATTTAAGAAAATCAATTATTAACACTGATTCCTATTTTATTGAATCTCTCACATTGCCTATCTCACAAAAAAAAATGTTTTAATGTTCGGATGTACACTCTGGCACAAAAATTAGAGAAGATAACTAGAAAATTTCGTCAAATGATTTTAAACGTTTGATTATTTTATCAACTTATAACATTGTATGCGATCTTAAATCTTTGTGTTATACATTTTTAATGACGATCACGTAAAGATAGTCTTTAAGACACGAGTAGAACATTTAAGTTACGAGCCTTGGCAAGTGCCTTTAAAACTTCTAAGAGTGTCTTTAATGCTAATTACGCGAGATGCGTTCACTACCTTACCTAGGACCGTTTTTTTATTACTGACAACCACTACTCATAACGTCTAAATGAGGTCATCGTTTCTAACCTCTCATCCGCCACTGGTTGTGATTGTACCAACCACTCACTCATTGTAGAATCAATTAAATTGGCCTTAAGAGCTGATAAGTTGATGTTTGAAGCATTACAATTTCTCACTCCATGATCATCATTGGTCCAAACTTGTATTGCAAATTAACAAAACATTGATTCATTGATTGAGTAAGTAAACAATACTGTTGAGTGATACTTTTGAATTCTAAAAACTCAATTGAAAAGTCTAGTTTAAAAAACGGTCGTAGGTAAAATTAACTACCTTACTCATTACTAGTTACTGGTGTGTTTATAGTATATGGAAAACTCGTCCTTTAACAAAATACCCCCGCCGCAGCAAACCTGCCGACTAAGCGAATTTCCATTTGTCTGAATTGATTTTCAGTTAAATATATTTTAATAACATTAGGTTTAACGAGTACCTAGGTTTGCTGCTACAAGGAACCTAATGAAGTGTGCTTTTGAGTAGAATATTGATAGCTTAGTACAAAATAAATAAATTTGCCAAGTTTGATCAAAATATATCCATAAACAAGCAAATTACAACATTTGACAATATTCTCCATAAGAATAACATGGGAATTTTAAATTTACAATTTTTTTAATTTTCTCCGTTACTAATAATCGAACAAAAATACTTTTATATACTAAATTATTTGTTTTTTAAGCTCTTTAAAAATGTATAAAGAGAAATTGGGAAATTTTGTGTTTTGAGGGTCAAAAGTAAGAAAAACCAATTTTTACCCCATAAAACCCCCCCTAAAGCCCCGTTCCCATGGTCCGATCATGCTGGTTCGCGAACTCATTCAAGTTTATCTCGCTTTACACCTTTAAACCAAATTTCATCAAAATCGGACCAAAATTACTCAAGTTATCGCGTTCACGGACGTATATATATATATATATATACATATATAAAAATTTGGACGAATGGTGTTTTTGGCCTCTGGGGACATCAAAATGAAAAAGTAAATCGGTCCCGGGTCTAGGTCTTACCGTGCCACCTACGGTAATAGCTACTTCCCTATAGGGAAATTCGCTAAAATAGGAAAGAGCTTATTTCTGAACAATATATTTTACCCACTCCAAATGACAACTGTACATAAAAACGTTTAGGCCAATAACTGGTGGTGCAATTATTAAAACTATAGAAATGCTATAATCAACAATCGTTCCTTGGTGGACAAGCTGGCCTAATAGCAAAAGAAATGTGTGGATTAAAGATCAAACGTGTTTCGATTGTTTGTTTGAACATCGATTCATTACATTAACGTTGTATTAAATTGTGTTACTAGTAAGATAGAACCTGTTAGTTATCATATAAACACAAGTGTACAAAAAACGTAATGTGCAAAGCGGCTTTTTTAAAGATGCTAAAATTGACACTTCTGAGAAGCCTCATATCCAATATTTGTCTCCACTTTATAGACTATTTGCACAAATAACGACACAATAAATGCGAGTCTTTGTCAGTTGGTATGTATGCAATTCATCAAGAAGCACAATAATGTTTCAGCCCTTATCTTTGCTAGATAGTCACCTAAAGTCCCCTACGTCAGTGGTGCGTCGGCTGGTGTGTGTGCGTGTGCGCGTGATGGTGTCTGCGTCCTCTGTTGTGTTTCCAATGAACCTCTTGTCTCCAATTTTTTCTTTCACGCTTCAACAGCGAATCTTTAGCTGGAGTCTGTAATAAATCCAATAATTACGTGACAGAAGTACAGAAATAATACGTTATACAATTAATTTGTTAATCTTTCCTGCAGAAAATATGCTCCTAAAGACCTTGCATGAGTGAATTTATAATGCGTGAAAATATTGCAAAATATCAACGTTTGTCAAATTACAAATAGATTAGTTTAATACCAAATTTGTATATGCCTATATAATAATCACGACTACTGGTAGCGGCAAACACTATTAAACTTATTCAAGAAAGGCAAATAGATCAAGTTTTACTTGTGTTGTGAATATTGATTATAATAGCAAACTAAGACAAAACATGCCGCTGAACGTACTAAGAAAACAACAATATTACACATGAACAACATATTTACTAAAAAGTTATGATGAGTATGTTTTTATAATAAAAGGAAAATGCTATTCGCGAATCTATATATTAATAGTCTGTTGCTAAAATAACATAATTTAGGTAATTTATTAATCATATCACTAAATATAAGTTGACTCAACAAGCTTATAGTGCTTTCCGAAACTATTTTCTGTGGAAATATCAGCAAACGATTATTTATGACAAACTTTAACCAAACTAAAACCTCGAATAGATAGATTTTACAACCTCACACATCGTGGCATACCCATAATGTGTATTTCAGGATAATTGTAAATTTAATGTGGTGTTTATTGGGCATAATTAACTTATGCATACTCATCTAAAAAAAGTCTTCAAGTATCAATTACTTATTGAGGAAACGGAACTTTGAAATTCCAAATGACAATTATAGATTTTAAGCTTTCACAAACAAGGAATAGTCAAACATAATAGTTACCTGTATTCTCCGTATCTGGTCCCAGAACGTGTGAGGTGACAGTGTGGTGGACGGAGACTCCTCCACACTCTGCCGCACCACGCTCACGGCGATGAAGGCGTTGCCGCGGCGCTCCTGAGGACTCGTCGTTACTCTGTGATACACGAACATCGGCCGACCCTCGTGACTGGAGCTGCTGTTGCTGTCCTCTGAAGAGTTGTGTTCAACCGTGTGGTTGCGGAAGCTTACCACGTCCTTCAAATGAAATTCCAATATCTTGGGGTCTCTGTACAGTCTCGATCTTGGAACATCCTCACTCTTCTCTGAGTTTGTCTTCACACCACTTACCAGGGGTGTAACACCTACAGAATTCTTATTTGATATATGTTCAGCTTGATCTTTATTACTTTTACTGCTCAAAAAGCTGTTCCATTTAGGGTCGAGCCAATCGTCTTCCAGCCAGTTTGACTCCAGAATGTCGTTTTCATCTACTGGGTGAGATTTCTTCACCTTCTTGACGATTGCCTCTTCGAAGTCTGGCCAGCCTGTGTCCGTGTCGTCCATATCTCCAGACTGCGTATCTTGACTCTCGCCAGTGGTCGCAGTCTCTGGTGTGGTTGTCAACAATGGAGGAGTTGTTGACGTCAACATGTTAACCTCGGTGGTAGGCGCGACGGTTATGTTATACGTGGGATCTATCTTGTGTTCTGACTCGAAATCGTTATCGGTCAAGTTTTTCATATCAATAACTTCGTTTAAATCATCTGTGGGTAAGTTATTTTCCGTTGTTTCGTATGCCTCTTTCTCTCTTCCAATAAGACCTAGAAAAAGTGTTTATACTCTCAATAAGTTAGTAAAAATATAATATGCAATCAGTTACATTTAGGCTAGGCCTAATTGGAATAGAAAAGGTTTTAAAATAATTTTTGTTTATAATAAACAATCAAAAAGGTACACAAACAGAATGGATTGTAGGTTTAAACTCATAGAAAAAAATCTATTAAAACATAAGTTTTTTTCATAAAATGTTTAATAATTGTTTTTGTAATGGAAGTTTCGTTAAATATTATTGATCTATTAATACGATGACTAATATAATCTTAAATATGACAAAGTTTATATTTCAGAACGGTTGCCAACTAAAAATCTAAGGTAAGTATAATTTCATAACCGAAACCATGTACTAAATTTGAGATGAATACTAGAAAGGAAAGTAGGCTATAAAACGAAACACAAATCGCTTAGTCTTTTTTCCGAATTTACAGTGTGTATTAAAATGCGTGCTAACATCATGAACTACCTAAATATTATTGTTAGTATAATTAGATAGCCTTTTTAAAAGAAAAAACTTATCAATATATTAGTAATAAACATAAATAGACCCGAACTTTCTACTGTGTTAACATTTTGAGAAATAACCTTACCGCGTGTTTTTACTATTTCTAATCCGTAATACGCTCAACACTAAGAAATAAACTATTTACACACACACCTATTTCTTAGTATATTGTTGCCTATGTCAATGAACTGTAAAGTAATTGTAATTAAATGTGTGCCGTGTATACTTACTGAGGACTCTGTGTATGCGCTCCCACTCCTCTGGTGTCTCTGCGATTCTGACCATCAGGTCTAGCAGGTCCTCATCCTGGCTGGACATGACGTACTGCAACGAGGAAACAGACCATTACTTATACAGCGTGTTTGTAGCAATAGCTCAACTAAATATTGTAAGGAAAAGTATCGCTGTTAGTGTTTAAAAGGTGCATTTCATATCACACAAACGACTCTAGTCCAAGGATACTGATTCCCGACGAAACAAAGTCTATAGTTTATTAAAATATTTTATACAACAATGATCTCAATGACCAAATTATAAGATTTTTTTTAAATTCATTATTCAAGTAGAACAGAACTAAGCTACACAAGAATATTAAAAAACCAATAAATGAGATTTTCGTGCTCGCCCTGTTACATCTTTAATAGTAATGATGTATATTTCAGTAGCCACTTTGGTAATAAGCATCATTTAATCATCCTAATCATGCAGTTTAACAGATAATTTTATTTGAAATTTATGACCGGACACCCTGTATATTACACAATTTTCATTAAGTAGTTTACAACACAGGGCACACACATACTGCATACAGAGTACATTAATCATAGCGAAACTAATCATGAATTGGTTGCATAAAATTAATCAACTTCCATGAGCTGAGTGTTTTAACTTAATTAATTTATCAATTTTCGTTTCTTCATTTGTTATTAATCTTTTAATGTATCTATAAATTGAAATAAATATCAAATTTACATGAAAAACCTTTTACAAACAAAGCTGTTAAAATAACAGAAGGAGTAAGAATTATTGTCTGACGGAAATGTAATTTGGTTGAAGTATTGGCCGGTGAAGGGGGAGCACCAGGTCTGTAATATCAAAGAAATCAATATGGCGGCCAAGACCTCGCGAACTGGCGGCACGCTACCGACTGTTTCCATTTAACTTATATTTAGCTCTCTTGAGAATCGATGGGTTAGCGCCTTCTCAGGATATGGCAAGATGCTTTGTACTGGCTAGAATATCAATGTTGAACACATTTTCACATTTTATTTGTGTTCGGAAATTAGTTTATCAAAGCATTAGTATAAAATATTAACTAGCAAAACGCAGTTATTTTAATAGAACAATTACAATGGTACAAAATGTGTTCGTTAAATCGTCTGAACACAACCATATTAAACAATTATAACCATCAAATAAATATTTACCCGAGTTTGATGGCTGTGAACCGAGGTCTTAGTTGACCCTGGAAATAAAAACAAAACATATCAATAATATAATCAGCGCCCAACAGGTTTATAAAACTAAATTGTGTGCTTAGTATCAACTATTTCTATTTAATTTAGTATAACGAACTTGGTTGAAGGAAATTCATTTTTCCAAACCACTTAGGAGTGAGACTTATACAGGTCTTACCAAAATTAATTTATTAGTGTATTCAATTTTCTTGACGGCAAGGTAAATGAGTATGTGATATTTATTCAGTCTACTAACAATGATCAAAGTGATTATATTTATGCGCTACAGTAAAAATATTTCGTTTGTCCCATTTAAATGATTAATATACTAGATTGTTCAGGGATTCTACTACTCAGGTTATCCCGTTACTACAGCTTTTAAAGTTTGAAAAAATGGTATTATATTCTCGACCTTTCAATTTTTCTCTATATATATATATATATATATATATATATATATATATATTACAAATTTACTTCCCAAAGACAAAATCTTTTTGCTTTAAATATGAAAAGGCCCATATTTACTTTTTCCACCAAAAATATTGATAACTTAGAATCAGGTGTGTCAAAAGGTCTATGTACTCTCGTTCTGCGTAAATAAAAAATCACCGACTTTAATAGTAGTTTAACATTATGCTAAACCAAACATATTTACAAAACTGATAACAATTGCAAGTCATTTATCAAGTTATTTTCAACTCTGTTATGTTAGCTCTGTTTTGAGGATATACTGCACACAACAGTTGGTTTGTTACACAGTACAGTAGGGCAGTAGGCGGTATAGCCGCGGAGTTGCGGTTGTTGGACGTACCATGTGGTGGCGGCGGTGTACGAGGACTGCTGACCGACGACTTATGTGGTCTCCCCGCCTGAAACAACCCCATCTACTGTTACAGGCTCAACTACGAACTATACATTAATATATATAAACATTTATTCGTTCTAAGATTTGTAGTACGATATAAGTAATTAAAAAAAATACATTTTGTGACAGATTTTTTGCTAGTAGTTAACGAGTGTAGACTAAATATTGTCATAAATATTTTTAATTATTGTCCTATTTACCTTTTATATAATATAACTAACTTATCCACTATGTGAATTCAATGAAATTCATAGCTAATTAAATATTTCCTTTTTTTACATAATTTGGAGCCGATGAGGAATAATTTCAATGTTACGGCGCAATTATAATTTTTTATTATGAACGATATGCATTAATTATGCTATATGATATAGTATAATTGATATGGTTTAGGATAAAATTCATCAGAGTTCAAGTCTGCCTTGTGAAAACACTATTTCAATATCCGATGAACGATACGGAAATTTCATCGATGCTTGTGACTTCAAGCTTAAGATTAAATGATAAGTCAAAAGTATTTTTTCTGTATTGAACTGTATATTTGTTATTGCCAACAACTTAAAAGGTTCTGTGCAAGTAATAATTTATAGTAAAAATATGAAACAGTACAATCTGTCAAATAAAATCTGCCTGTAAATAAAAGCACTCGTATTGAATACATAGATTAACGCACTCTTGTATAAAGAACCTGGATAGAGCATGTTTTACAATACATCACAATCCCTACACAATCGTACAACAGGGTATTCGGCTACATCATATACAAGGGATTACAGCATTGATACTTCTGATCACCATTAACAATCATTACTATTGATCTAGGGATTTCTAAAACGACCCCGAATATCATTGTACCACATTATTTCATTATAGATGTTTACCATACAACGTTACGTATGGATTTAAAAGAAATGTTTAAAGTTTATTCCTAATTTTTACTATTTGTAAAATATTTTTTTCATATTAACGTTATGATATGAAGCGGAAGCGAGGTGGAAGTGGAGAGGTTGGGAATGTAAACGGCATCGATTTGTTACCGTCCAGCTTCGGCCTCGGAAATATTATAATAGCCACCTCTGCCGATCATTATTTATTTACCAACACAAACAGAATACTCACTGTTCATTTTACGTTTTATAACCAGGTGAAGTAAAACCAAATGCTTTAATGTTAAATATAACGACATTTGTTTAAACAACGAACCAATACATATAATTAAAAAAAAAAACAAGATTAAAGTAAAAATACAATAAAAATACCCCCGCCGCAGCAAACCTGCCGACTAAGCGAATTTCCATTTGTCTGAATTGATTTTCAGTTAAATATATTTTAATAACATTAGGTTTAACGAGTACCTAGGTTTGCTGCTACAAGGAAACTAATGAAGTGTGTTTTTGAGTAAAATATTGATAGCTTAGTACAAAATAAATAAATTTGCCAAGTTTGATAGAAATATATCCATAAACAAGCAAACTACAACATTTGACAATATTCTCCATAAGAATAACATGGGAATTTTAAATTTAAAATTTTTAAAATTTTCTCCGTTACTAACAATCAAACAAAAATACTTTTATATACTAAATTATTTTTTTTTTAAGCTCTTTAAAAAGGTCTAAAGAGAAATCGGGAAATTTTGTGTTTTGGGGGTCAAAAGTGAGAAAAACCAATTTTTACCCCATAAAACCCCCCGTAAAGCCCCGTTCCCATGGTCCGATCTTGCTGGTTCGCGAACTCATTCAAGTTTATCCCGCTTTACACCTTTAAACCAAATTTCATCAAAATCGGACAAAAATTACTCAAGTTATCGCGTTCACGGACGTATATATATATATACATATATAAAAATTTGAACGAATGGTGTTTTTGGCCTCTGGGGACATCAAAATGAAAAAGTAAATCGGTCCCGGGTCTAGGTCTTACCGTGCCCCCTACGGTAATAGCTACTTCCCTATAGGGAAATTCGCTAATAAGGCTTTTATTAAGCTATCAGAAGTTAAAATATACAGATTGTTTTAATTTTTAAAGCGATTACTAGCAAGGACAGATTAACATAAGCTTTAACGGGTGTTTCAAAAATCAGTTTACCGAGTAAGTGTATTTATTTGAAGCAAATTATAAATCTATTTTATTTATATTATGATTTTATTGAAACTGAATTTACGTTGTTTAGGGCTTAAAATTCTCTTGCGATGGCTGCTCTCAATTGCAGAGCATCTAGGGGACTTCATTTTTAATGATCCCCAAAATTAGAAAAGTCCAACCGTGTAAGATCCAAGACCTTGGAGGCCAATCAATTCGCAAGATAATTTGAAGCCCAAACACCAATAAAAATCCAGGCAAAAAGATTGTAAACATTTTGTAAAAAACGCTGTTAAAAATGCAATGAAGTTAGTGGAAAGCATTTCGAACAATTATTTTAACCTTAAAACCTATGTGTGGTGTAAATTCAGTGTAAATAAAATTATAATATACCTAAATAAAATTGATTTATTAATTGCTTCAAACAAATACATTTACTCGGTAAACTGATTTTTGAAAAGCCCGTTATTTAAGGTTTTTAGCTAGGTTTTCGAAATCGGCCTAAGTCAAGTTCGTAAAGTTGAGTTTCTTAACAAACGAGGACCTTGTAGTAATGTGCAATTAGTGAAAAAAAAACTGCCCAACCTTAGCATCCAAAGTGAAAGCTAACCTTCGACTCCATAATGTTTGATATAGTTCCAGTAATGTATATTACATAAGTTTTGCCGTTTTTAGCGTCAGAATTTCTGAAAAGGGAGAAGGGGTGGATAAAAGTTGAAAGTTGGTACTTTTTAAGTTTGTAATGTATTTTTTTTACTATACGTTTCAGCACAAGCCACGTAATTAAAAACAAATAATTTCAGATACATTTTAAATAAGACTGGTCCTATTTTAATCTTGCTAAAGTTAGCGTTTGCAGATCTACAAAAGGTTAAAAATATTTTTTTCAAACATTTTAACGCTTTGTACCCGTCGACAAACAGGAAACAATGTGACAACACAATGTTTGGTTGTCACAACGCTCCTCAATATTTAAACCAGGCTGGCGTTCCTGGCCATACGACTACAACACTACGAAACTACATTTTTGTGTACAGGATACTGTTTTTATTTATTTTTTTGCCAAATTGTGATTTTAGTGGCCTACGTTAGTGATAAGCCTAGCTGGGCCCGTCGATGGGTGCTACTTTTTATAAAAAAAAAACTTCCAAAAAACCAAACTGAGTATATTTCATAAAGAATCCCAACGATTGGGTAACCCTCATACACTCACTTGCGATCACGCCTATATATACTTTTCGAATCTTGATATCAGGCCTTTAGGGCTAGAAAACTAACGGAAAAAGAAAAACCCCATTAGTTGCAGATATAATGTATTTTATAAAATTAGTAGATAATCGGCTCAATATAAATTACTTAATTGATTTTTTATACTTTACGAAATTAGTACTTCTTTCCTTTTTTATCCTTTTCTATGTAAGTGGCTTAAACCATTGAAATAGAACGTGTTTTAGTTGTAAGATAAGGCTAAATAAAGTGCACTCTGACTAATTTTGCCCTACTTTTAACCAAATACGTTCTATTTCAGGTTTTGGCCGTTCGATCTTTTTGTTCTTGGTGTCGTTTGATAGAAAACTAAATATGCAAAAAAGAGGCTTTTTAACTTTTTAGTGTTAGTTTTTTTAGTGTTGTTAACATTATCCATTTTCGAGTTATAAAAATTAAAACGGCCGCCATTTTGAAATTTATTACCGACCAAGTTATTTTTTCCCCCCATAATAGTTCTTGTGTACGTTAAAATGCTTGCCAAATCATATGTAACATTACATTTAACATGATCTAAACTATAACGTAAACATGCATAATCCTCGGTTGAAAATTTCTAAGATAAAAATAGTTATATATAAAAAAAACCAAATTGCGGATATCTAGGTAAATATGCATTTTCGGACTCACATCCAAGGAAAACTTTTTTCTTCATTTTATTATGAGGATTCATATCCCAAAGTCCTGAAACGTTTTTTATAGACACCCTGTTTAATTACTAAGCGAACGTAAACAGACGCAATACATTAGATCAAATTAAAACAAAACAAAAAGACAATTAGTACAAAATTATATAAATAAACCAATCAATACTATACAAATTATATGGGGTTATAAGAAAATAACGAAGTCTTAAAGTACAGGAGCCTATAAAATAAACTGTACTTGACAAGAGCTGTTAAAAAACTTATAATACGTTGGAAAATCTGTTTCAGGAAGGGTTTAAAGCCAACCGGGATTCCGCCTAATCCAGTTCGCTGAGCGACCCTCGCTGAATATTTCAAACGCGTAATTGGTTTAAACAGGGTTGGATTGCTTATAAACGCGGGTTAACCCTTTACACCTTTGATTGCCTGCGCGGTGCTCAAGTATCGGAATAATTATCACCACCCTACACACACGTTGCACCTCTTCTATTAGAGAAAACTGTTAACTGTAAGTGTCGAGGTAAAAAATACGTTTGTCACCAACAAGTATTTAGAATTAGAAAGTTGTGTTACTGTAAACATTATTTATTTAATTTAAAACAGCAGTTTTTGGATCTCTATCTACCTAGGTTTATTTACTTTGAACACTCTTCGAACGGGTTTGAAGACTAGACGCGCCGTTTATCAACATGTTTAAAACACTGGGGTTTATGATTTTTAACTTATTACGAGAAACTGTTTCAAATAATATATTTTCTGAAGCTAAAGTGTTTCTTTTAAATTACCTACAATTTTATCATAGCTTAGAATCAGTAAAGGTAATTTTTAAATACCCCCTATAGTAAATAAAATCGATATTATAATTTAAATAAGCAAAGGAGGAAAAATACTGTATTTTTCAAATACCAAGAACTGCTTTTAAATATTGCAATTCCACTTCAAATACAGCTTTGTTCTATGCTTCTTTTGTTAATTGAGAGTGCTTTTATCATTACTTAAATTGCAAAAAATATTCCACTTTATAATCATCTATACTAATAAAAATGCAAAATAGAATTTAATCAGTGGGTACTTTTTTTACATACCAAATATAATTTAATCAGTGAGTATGTTTTTAACAGAATTAATTAAATTTACTGAACATATTTGTTTCGTTGTAGTTGTGATAGATAAGAATCCATAACTGTAAATGCGTATTAAACGGTTTATTATTTTACACTTTAAATTAAAAAAAGGAATGCAATATTTTGATCAGTATTTCAATGACATTTTTTGAATGCATTCACTCAATAATCAAATTAATAATTGGGTCCATGTACCAATAAAACAACAATTAATCATATAACCTTATTGCATTCTGGATACCTCAATTTAGACAGAAAAAACAAACACAATTTCTCCTGTAAAACGAAAGAAGTAATATTCTAAATGGAAAGATAACAGTTTAATGTGATACACATGAGTTCTGCGAGGCATATATGTAACTGCTGTTCAAACCATAACTCCTCCATGTTTCCTTTGAATATTTATTTCTCTCGAACACTATTTATATTTGTAATTATTAGTATAGTTAGGACAACTTGTTACTTCAAGTAAGTATTATTCAAGTAAGTAAGTATTGCAATTCTAAAACCTACTTTAAATGCTTAACTTTTTTTTTGATTGCGTGAGCGATTGGTATGAATCAATTATTAATATATCTCAAAACAAGGATTGTATCATAAATAATAATATAGTTTCCACGTTCGTGTGTGGTGTAACGTATAGGTATTTATGTAGTATAGTTATAATAATTCAAAATGTATAGGTTCACTATGATTCTGCAATATCATCGTACTAATCATGGTGGATTATTTCAGCTCATTAATTTTCATGCTAATGCATTACATCAATCAAACAGTACTTTTATTCATTTTGTGTTATATAAAAACCTAACCAAGATTAAATCTATAATGATTTAATCTGTGAGATAAGTAATAAATAAAACAAACAAGTGTATATCTGGTTTAAGTGCTGCAATTATATATCGTTACCTCATATCCTTCCTTCAAAGTGTCGCTGGCTGAAACAAATGCTCATATTATACATCAACCATGGTAAACCACTTAAATAGAAAAGAATACGAATTTTCATGCAGTATTCAACATTTAATACATCAAAGGTTCTTTTTTTAAATTCATTCCCAGCTATTAGCTACCCAAAATAATATATAAGCCAAATTTACGTCATTAATGATATGTAATAATGTATTGACATTGGTGGTATACTGTGAAAAAAACGTAACCTATACCATGCTGTGTTAACCCGAAATTGTAATAGAATACTGTACTGAAATAAATCGTAACCGGTAGCATACTGTGTAATAGTAAAATTAAATTGATATCATACTTTTCAATCTAAACGTGACTGATAGCATACCGTGTCAAAATAAAACTGCATCGCTATAATACTGTGTTTAAATGAAATAGCAGCCGTAGTGCAATGTTTTACAACGAATTGTCACGTTCCAAAGTTGTTTTTTCAATAGAATACTATTGCAAAACAAAACATCAACAGAAGAATAGTGTGACAAAACTGGATTGCTTCGGAATTATACATGTTAAAACAAATACATGTTAACAATGTAAGAACAAAACTAATCAGATACCAGTCCGTTTTAAAACGAAATGACATTGATAACATAATGTGTTACTTGATCAAAGATAAACATCATGATGAATGTGAGTGCAGCGGAAAGTTGGCATCGGACTGGATGAATCCAGGGAAGATCATTAATTCATGTCGAGAGCGTGATTCATGTAGGAAGGTCGAATATTGTAAAGGGTTCTGTTTTACATCGTTCATAAAATAAATCTTCTACTTCCTTCCGTACCTGAAGGTTGGCGTCGGAGTCATTTATTTCATCGCTGTACTGGATTCTGCTTATACCAATACCTAAATATAAACTTTATACCAAAGAATGTGGTTGAAATCTTACAGATTAAAAACATTTATGAATGTGCTAATAAATACAGATCTAACTTTTGTCAATTTGAGACGTTGTTTTTGTTTTATGTCCAAGTGTCTTTCATCACTATTTTGTATGATTATCAATATTAAAATGTCAATAAATTTGAATAATCGATATATATATATATACATACAGGGTATTAATCGCAACCAAAATTAATAGTCCTGTGAGAAAAATGTTTATCACAAAAATACATTATATGTTGGTATCCCTGTTTTCTTTACTCCATTTCCGTTCAGCTGATACGTGTTGTTGCATGGTTATCTATGAGGTTTGAGTGTTACTTTTAATTAGTTGGAAATAAGACGAAACATGGCGTTTCTCAAATCTCGAAAAGCTGGAAAAATTCGTAGAAAGTTTATCATTGTTTTTATGCCATGAAAGGTTTGAAATTAAGTTGCCTAGTGTGATTCCCATATGTAATAAATCACCTATACGTATCCTACTGTACGGATTATTAACGTAAGCTAGTTAAAGAAATCCTAATTTAAATTCAAGGAAATTTTTAGTATCTAGAATTTAGTACAAATCTAATCAGGCTAGGTACATGCACAGAAACTGAATACCAAACCTTTCTTGCCATAAAACGAAAGATTAACCTTCAACATATTATTCTAACTCTTCGAGAATGGGGAAACGTTATGTTGAGTTTCATTTAAAATAACTTCCCAATAACTATAAACCTTATTGATAGCTATGCAACAACACATATCAGCTGATCAGCAATGTAGTAAATAAAATAAGGATGCCAAAATATGTCTTTTTTTCATTAAAATGTGTCTCACAGTACTTTTAACTTGGGCTGAGCGTAAAAAAACATCGTATGTAATATACATTCATATGCATTGTCAAATTAATTATAGGTATCATTGAGATCAAAACGCGGTGAAAGAGAGAGCTTGTGTTATAATGTTTCTGCGTGGCAATAATCAAAGGTCAAAGGTGGATACACATTGGTGGGTCATCGACGGATTGAAAAGTTAATTAAATTCCCGTCTCATGATACGTAAAACTCATCAATTTAGTGTTTGTCCACTAATATATTGTCTCTCAATATCTGTTATTGAATAAAAATATCATTGTAGGGATAACATGTATTAAACTTTTTTTTTAACTTACATTCTAAGATATTTACACAACAATAAATGCCACATTGTAAAATAAAACTTATTTTATCCTTATTATATTATATTTATATTGCGGTCAATGCGGTTACATATAAAAAGAACCGCGGTTCTTATAAGCGTATGCGGTTACTTATAAAAAGCAATACACTTTTTACTCATATTACTAATACATTTTTACTAAACCACTTAACTATTATATTTAAGGTAAACCCCTGTACACAATGTATCCATGTATCGCAGTCAGAATGCAATACCATTCTCTTACCACAAAGTAACAAAGATATTGTCTCTAATTAATGCAGACTCAATTAGGAAGAATAAACACAGAAACAGCAGCAAAGCAAACACTATCTGTAACTAAAACTGGGTGTTTCAGTTATCGTTGGTTAAGTGAATTACATTCGATCTACTTTTTATAGCACTCACGTTTAGCTGCTTTCTAATAATAATCTGGCAATATTTTAAAATAACTAAATGCATTCAGCATATCAATGAATCCTGTCGTTGATATTGACAAATGCTTAGTTTTTTTATCAAGATTTATTTTTCTTCTTAGCATACAAAACGTTTTATCGATACAACACCTGTAAATTTTACGTTCAGGATGCACATCAGTAACGGTGTTCCTTAAAACCGAGCTCTAAGTTCGCTTTTATGAATTGTATACGTTTAATAACAAATTGTTTTCCTATTTTTTATTTAACTCACTATGGATGGATACAACATATTCCAACTTGAACCACTTGTGAGGATTTTGCCCCAAGTAGTTGTCCAAAGCTCTTATTTCTCCTTAAAGTCATAATCAAGTTGGGTGTCTTATGCATGTCTACACTTTGCACGTTATCATACTATAGGTTTGATGAGTACGTGTATGTTATTAGGCATTTTACGACGATTTACCAACCAATAACTGGTGAATTTGAAATAAACTCCCCCCCCTTATTTCCCCCCCTCCTAAAATTACTTAATCGCAAATTATGTTATGTTTGATTATAAATCACCAAGATAATATATTTTATTTCCGAGCAGGGTGTGGTAATACGGGTTTAGACCGATACCTTTACATTCTGAAATACAGTAGGTTTTATAATCTCTGTAACGGCAGAAGTCATTATACTCGAGGTATAAAAAGCTAAAGGCGTAAAGATAATAGCTATAATGACAGGGAAGCATAACAATGGATCGTGATAGCTGTCAGGACAGAACGATAACCAAGTGACGTCGAGAGTTCGGTTTGTGAGTGCTTCCATGACAGAACCGATAAATTGTCATATTGGGATAATGATTTGCAGCTGCTGTCACAACAGCAAAGTAATGCGGCACTGTAATGATGTCATGATTATAGTTTGTCATGACAGTACTAGCGTTACTGTTATAGATGTCATGACAAAACGGTTATAAAATAAAGTCGACAGTATGGCGTATATATTGTTGTTTGTACAGAACAAAAATAGTGGTGCTGATAGAATAAAATCTCAATTCAATCATATCACAACGAATATAAACTGTCTCCGAGAACAAATTTTGTAACTTATGTCTTTACAGAGCAGTTACATAGTGATATTGAGAGTACGGTGTAAAATTGTTTTCATGACAGAACGGATACTAAGTGACGTTAAGAGTGTGGTTGACAAACACCAGACGGGAAGTAAACCTCTTAGTGTTAATGGATGTCTTTATCTTTGCGTTCAAGTGCGTTTTGGCCGATGAAAAGAACTCCTTAAAGACTGAATCATCGTAACCACGCTTTTTCTCTAAAAACCTGCACCATTCTAGTTTTGTTGAAGAAAAACTGTTTTATCAAATGCAGGTACAGTAATGTTTTTAAATTATATTGTTGAGATACAGAATGGGGTTAAACAATAGTTTTCCTCAAACAGATATTGAATTTCAAAACAGTTTCTATAACACAATCAGACTGACCTAATGACAGAAAGTTGCCTAATTTGTTGTATATGAGACACATAGGGATTGTCTCAAGCTTATGGACAAATACTCAGTAGTTGCAAATTGAAGTTTGATCTTCTAGAATCCATCTATCTCTGGCATAATCAGCAGCTCAGATGTCTAGCTTTTTATTGGTTGGATGAGAATTCATCCTTAGGAATTTTTTATATAGTCTATAATTATTCTATTAATAGAGACATTTTATAGTGGAGATATCTTTACTAAAATACTCCCTTAAAATTGTTATATTTATTTCCTATTTAAATACTGTGCTAGTACCACAGCTGCACAACTAACCAATTAATCAGGTTTTTTGTATATATTGCACTGTTTGTTTGGTATAGATGGACCAATTTATAAACTAAATTCAATGCGGGTTTCTAGTTTACACCCCTTTTCGATCACACTTGCTAACCTCATAGATTGAGGTGTCATTAATGGTAACTAAAAAGGCCATATCATCTAGGGCTTCATTCCTCTTACGTTTGATTCATTTTTTAGAGTCGGTTTTAAAGATTCAGTGATGATGCCCTCTTTCTTTATAAAGTTTTAAATATGTATTGAAATTTAGTAGCTGATCGTTAGGCTGAATGTTTGACTTCAGTAAGCATGTAAACAATAGACGGAATAGCTTATAAAAATGGATTTTAAATATGCTATTTTATGATAACTATAAACTGATTGAGGTAGGTAAATTACTCTTTATTGATTACTCTTGAATTACCATTCTTGTATTGAAGAATTTAGTTTATTGTAAATTAGTAGTTTTACAGTGAACCACATTATATTTGACACTTAAAAGTGTATTGCAATATTCACTTTGCCTCGGAAACTAGTTTTGAACACAGTTTAAATGCGCAATGTGTTCATAAGCCCCCCTCTTGTATTTAAAATGTAGCAAATTTTGTTTCGATTCAGTCTTAGGTTGTATATTTTACACATTAATGGTTTAACTGTTGAGAATCCCATTCATTGCGGGTGTTCCCCAGGGCCACATCTAGCCCTCAATGAATACTGTAGTATGGACAAACTTGGCCCGTTAGCTCCAGCTCACCCCAAGACAATATCATTTAGTTACACTCTGAGATATTAGGTTAAATAACACTAAAACAACTACATAATAAATTTGTGAACCACTTTGTTCCTCAAGGAAACTGTTAAAGTAATACAATAACTATGTATACCTATTTCTAAAATAGATTGCTGCACAAGTATTGAAAATTATTAATTACACATGAATGTTTTACCTTAGGATACTAATCAGCACCGATATAGCACAGGCAATAATAGATTTTTACTATTTCAAGCAACATGACCAAGTTAATCTCCTTTACATACTTTAAAACTTTCTCTCGTATATAGTACTACTTGAATTTTAATTAGCATTAATTAATCCCGGTGAGATATATTCAGCTTATTTGTAGTTTGAGGAAAGTTATAGAGAACCTCACTTCAATTTAAAATTAGATTAAGAATAACATTACTAAACTGTTGTCATAATTTTCAAACTTGATGGCTACCACAACCTGGGACGGAGTTATAACATCTCCTGTTGAACAGGAAGGCAGACGACAATAGTATATCAAGCTGCCATATTGTAAACAATACATCTCCCGACTGCCAACTGATACCAGATGTAATTGCTGTTCGGCCGGAAGTGATAACAATCAAGGTCTATGGAATGACGAATTATTCATGAAATACCCAATCAAATTGACTAGGAGTATCTACTTGTCGCTACCAATCTGTATTACCTGTATCGCGATTTTGTCCGTAGAAGGGTGATGAATAACTATAACTTTTTTTGTGAATTTATCATTCAACTAAGATTTTCAATTCCAAACTATTACATTGTTATTACACATTGTCTAATGAAATTATTGAATCAAATTAGCAGTACGAGACATAACCAAAATAACATAGTTGATCCTTTTAGATATAGTATGCTAGTTAATTAGTTAATTTTGTTAATGAGATAAGTTTTAGAATTAGTTTCCAATAGTTTTTATAGTATGGGCTGGCAATGGGTTAAACTAGTGTGCATATTTAAACGGTTAAAACTTTAAAAATTAAAACTTATTCGAAAAGCTATGAAGATATTTAACTTCTGGAGTTACGTTATTTACTCAAAACATATCCACGCTGTGAATTCAAATCGTTCATTTATAATGTTTCAAAAGCCGAAAAGTTAAACAAAAGGTTTTATTCATTTAATAAACGTCAGCACAGACCATTTGTATCTTACATATTCCTTGAATATTGTTTCAACCAAATGCAATAAGTTAAGGAATAATTTATATATCACTTTCAGGGTACAAGATAATTTTGTAGATGAGATCGGCATAGATGCTTTTTATTTGTAACTAAGTCGGAACTGTAAAAAAATATGAATAAATTACATGATCATTTGTTCAATACTTATGAACTTGTTTATTTGTGACTTAATCTGTATCGTTTATTAATACGGGAATTGAACGAAAGTATCAGAAATTGATGCAGCTAATGTACATCATTAACATTAATGTGGTTATTCAATATTGAAGTTTTAGCTGGTGTACAGACATCAACAAATTAACGTTAGGCTTACATCGCAACACAGCCGGGTGAACCGCAGAGCAACAAGTAGTTAAGTGTTACTCAGCTATGCAACACATTTGAGTCAAGATATTGATAAATTGAGCGGAAGAGTACAGTTTATGTTACATAAATATAAACAGCCGTAAATGTAAGCAATTTAAACCTATAGTTTTACATATCCTCGTCAAATAAGGCTATCAAATTAGATTCATATTTTAAAAACATTATTCCTCTTAAATTGATGTAACCATTTAAATTTCAGTGTTTATCAAACGATATATTTTGGACGCCACCGGTTAATTCTTATAAATCTAAATACAAACAAATGAGTAAGTTTCCTGGTGAGACACTACACTAGTCACCACACTGCCACTACCACTAGCGCATACCGTGTAGCTGGAGCAGTACGAGCACTACCACTGCTGCGGCCACCATGGCGGCGCCACTCACTGTCACTGAGACCCACCGTCCGTTGTGTGGTGGTGCTGCCGCCCCAGCGCCGGCGCCACCCCAGCCACCCCCTCGGCCTAATTGACTCCACCTTGTCCATCGCAATAAGCGCTCACAATTGCATTGTCATGTCATCGTTTATTGTACCCTCCACTGAAGAGTGTGCCAATAACTAGATTGGTTTCCGTCAGCTGAGTCCTTTGAATGTTATTTTTGTGTACACTTTGTTCTTCAAATAAAAACTTTGAAGTATTACATAAATTTCATACTGACTTGTTAGTTTTTGTCTTTTAACAGTGGTGTTTTAGGTAGAATGGACTTTACTGTACAAGCGGCTTGGTTAGATTTCAAAATACACGATCGATAAAATTAGGTTACAAGATGGTGGATTGGTCTCTAGATTGTTATGAATCAGACAAGTGTATAAACCTTCGGTTTATATCAAACCTTCCTATGTTGTATTACAATTTAAAACCATCTGGTTAGAAGGGCAAATACATAGCACTAGTTAGTAAGTGCTTGAATGATAGTTTTGATGTATCGTGTCATTTTCTGGGCACATTATAACAATGGTAATAAACATAAAAATGTTGCATTATTTACTGCTGTCTTGATATTTTGTTGATATGTCTATTTGTTACACGTAGTATATATGTATGAGCTTTATGTAATTTATTCGTACGCTCTAAGTTTTAAGTTTTAACCAGAATTGTCCTGAAGGTCAGTCTGAAAACTGAGGAATGCTATTGAATAAAGATGTTTTACCTTCCCGCAAGTAGGTATCTATATAATTAATACGCTACATGAAACTTTGTCGGTTGAACTCCTCCGCCATTTCTTAACCGATTTTATCCATTGACGTCTCATTGGAAAGAGCGTCTCGCGTATATTTGCAAACTGGCCTTACACTTTTGAAAACGTCCCTTGGGCTCTGCCCCAGTGGCTTTGAAAGTTCCCATGTTATCCTTATAAAGAACATAATTGTTTACATTTTGATCAGCTGTAAAATTTAATTGCTGTTATTTATTTTTCAATTCAACGTATTACATTTACAGATTTAGTTGGAATTAAATATTGACTATTTTAATTTACATTCGTACATACAATGTAAAAAATCAAGAAAAGCCTGGACAATTTGATATATTTTAACAAATAAGAAAAATGAATTGACATGGTACTGTATTTCTTGAGCAATCATTGAAAGAATCGATTTGTTAACCAAGGAAACATAGGAAAGTCATAGAACTCCACCAAGTAGAAGAAATAGAGATTTTCAAAAAAACATTTACTATCGTTATCATCCTAATGAAGAACACCTACAACTAAAATATGAAGATTCACAAAAACAATAAACAAGGATGTTAGCCGAAGTGCTACTATTTTGTAGGAAACACAGACTTAACTTTATGATGATTGGCTAAGGAAAACCCTCTAAGGCTGAATTAAACTGGTACGGCAAGGACATTAAATATATTTTTTCATAAAAGTCAAGTGATTTTAAAATAATATAACTACATCCAAGAAACCTTAATTTAACTTTCATTGAAGGATTTGCATTATTCACTTTATTATTCACATTTAAGGGAAACAAAAAACCATCTGAACAACATTAGGCCTTTCAATTCTGCATTTATTTAGGTAAATATAGCTTACGTTATAACAGTAACTAGCCAAATTAATGCCAATTGAAGCAAATAAAATTGTGACAAAGAGGATATGCAGAAAATTATACAGTTCTTAAGTAATGTAAACAAAATGTTATCGCTATAAAAAAATGACTGAAATTTGTAAACGTACTGGCGACAATGGGTAATACAATGCAGACTTCATCATCATTGACGAAGATCAAGATGGACAACCTAATGCGGGGAACCTATAAGTGGGAAACATTTGTAGAATACATTAAAAAACCAAATCAGCTTTTGAAAAATGATAAAATAGTTAAAAGAAAATGTTGATTATATTAGGTACGTAATCTATGAGTTGAGTCTTTTAAACTCATCGCAAATTGTGACTTTTATTTGTTTTTAAATAAGTTAGGTATTCGTTTTAAATAACTACTTTACTTCTTTGCAATTGCTCGATTTCGAGCAACATCTTCATTAGTTTTTTTTATTTTTATTTATGACAAAAGCTAATTTGCAACCGAAAGGTGAGTGAGCGTAGCGAACGAACTTCAACCTAGAAGAGAGTTAGCGTAACGAACGAGCTAAATCTGAAGGCAAGTGAGCGCAGCGAACGAGCTCCAACCTAAAGGCGAGTAAGCGTAGCAAACGAACTACAACCAGGACGTGATTGAGCGATGCGAACGAGCTCATCTTGAAAATGAACGAGCATTTTACATAAAACCACATTAGGACAGGACGACATCTGTCGGGCCAGTTAGTCTAAAAGTGATACAATCAAATTTTATGTAAACGGTTAAGGCCATTTACCAAATAAAAATATAGGCATATGGAACATCAAAATGAAGCTTAGAGTGTGTAGATTTGCCGAAAAGTATTTATATGGACGAACTTTCTAAGGGCTCTGTCCCACAGGCTGATTTCCAAAGGGCTACACCTGGCATGCTTCCAAAGTTTACATGATTTAATTTAATTCAGTTAATGAAACAGCTGGTCAGTACAATGAAGTGGTGTTTGTTTATTTAGGCCTACTCGAAAATAGTATATTACGTTACTAGTCCGGAAAACAGGTGTTTACCGGACGAGCGTGGTCGTTCCCGCGCGAGACGAAGTCGAGTGCGGGATTACCATACGAGTACGGTAAACACATTTTGGACGAGTAACGTACGATATTTTTCGCCATTACTACCCTAAAATATATTATTAATAAAATATTTAACTTATACTGTTTTAAGGACTTGCTATCACTACACATAACCTCTCAGACTCAGAGAGGTTATGTTATTGTTTGTAACCACTTACAGCAATTTAGAATACGACTTCTTCTTCTACCTTAATCTAACACTTAACCTATAACTTTAAAAAACTGTCAAAATCCGTCATATTTTCCAATAGTTCTTAATATTTTTCATCTAGTTTAAATCTGTAGACAATATAAGTAGTTATTAGAATAAAAGTAACTATACAGATTTTTACCTAATTATAATATAATCCACTAATTGTAATCACTTTCAACTGATTGAATCAAGAGCTTACGAATCATTTACATTAGGTAAGTACACATTTACAATTAATTTTTTAATACAGTACAAGTTTACAGTTAACTAATAGCAAATATGGGAACTATTTAAGAAAATATGACGGATTTTGATCTAAAGATAAAACAAATTAAGAACCAAACCAAACCTTTAATTTACAAAATGAAACAGACAACCATAAGCTTAGGCCTATAAGTTAGGTAGGCCTACCTTAACTTTACCAGCAAGCAACAAATGGATAAAGGCATAAGTTATTGGATTAGTGGATTAAATGCCTGGGCTAATCAAAAACTTAACTTAGTAGGCTAAGTACTGATTGTTATGGTGATAACTTAGGTCTAAAGTATAAGTTAAATAAAAACTATACCTGAATAATTAAAACAAAATTTAAATCGGCTTAGCAGTGAACTAACAGCTAGGATACAAACAATCATAGGCCTAACTTAACTTGTATCATGTTTATCCTGACCTTATCGGTAACAAATAAATAAGTATAAGATCAAATGTCTAGCCTAATTTAGGACCTAGCAGTCATTAACTTATTGATTTATAACCAGGCCTAGCTTATAGCCTAAATAAAACATCATTCTCAAGCAATTAAAACAAGCAATTGGTTTATTGTTATAACTAATCTTGTTACTTATCCGGTTACAAATAAATAAAATAAGTGTTGGATAAAGTGTTTAGGCTAATGTAAAACCTAGCATGTATTCTGTATTATAACTTTAATTAATTAAATCATAAATCTGGTAAGAAGACCATGTTTTAGACAGGCTGTTCTTACTAGGGCCTTCTTAGTAGGGCCTATTACGAACTAACAATAACAGTTAGGCTACCAAAACATGCATTAAGTTTAGGCCTAACTAATCTTAATAAGTTCAGGGCCTATGGAACGTAAAATTGAAAGTGCAGTTTGTATTGTTAGAAATATTAATTCCATTCATTGGCAGTGCATTATTTACAACAGAGATGTTGTCCAACCCCGTAAATGAAGGTGTTGAAGCAGTGTCTACAGTCTGTAAATTACACTGCTGATCTGAATCAATAGGCCTACTGTTAGTAGAAGAGTTAGGGTTAGGCCTATTTGCACTAATTTCAGTTGACTTGCTAAACAAAGTTTGTGACACAGCAATTTTCCCCCTTACAGAGTTTTCAATATATCCTTCTGCAACAGCAGATGATTTCCAGCCCCCGTGCCTCTTAAGAGTGAGCAAGTCACCACCATTCTCTACTAGTATTGAGGCTGAGGTCCTTCTTAGAGCATGCCCTGTATATTCGCTCGGATTTTCCAACTCTAAGTATTCTGCTACTTGTTTCGGCACACACGCGATTTTATGCAGGCCAACGTTCTGGGCTACACATTTTCCATTTCGGTAGCAAATAAACAACTTATCAGTTTGTAAATGACCAGGTCTCAATGCAATATATTTGCGGTACAGATCACAAGGTTTGAATGGTACTCCGTCGTCTATAATCGTGAATGATCTTGATTTGTGGGTTTTGCCATCGCGGATATGTACCAACAAAAACCTACCGTTGTCTTCGATGTCATTGATAGTTAGTCTAGCAAGGTCGTCTCTTCGACAAGCCCCAAAAACACCAAAAATCAACACTATTTTACTTAGGAGAAAGGTCTGGTCTGGCGCTTCAAGTATGAATTGAGTTACTTGATCTGTAGACAAGGTTTTGGATTTTTTAGGTTTGTAACCCGTAGAAGCACGCTTAAGGTAAGCGATTGTTTTAGAGAATTTATCACAGTCTAAATTATCTTTAATTAACAAACAGCTTTTTATCATGGAAAATTTTGACCAAAGAGTTGAAGGTT